TGTCTTCCTGCCTGCACTTCTCAATCCTGTCCAAACCATGACTTTGACTCTGATCCAGACCACTGCATGGGACTGACAGAGGGCTGTGTGTGTCCTGAAGGAACTTTACTTCATCGTCCGTACTCTGCTCTCTGCATCCCCTTTGAGAAATGTGGTAAGGACCACACTTTATTAGCTCACATATGATACCCAAAGGATTATAAGAATATGAAAATGTAAATTTTAGATTTATGGTTGATTAAATTCTTCCTGAAATTTTTTTGAGTCTTGAGTCCTTGTCAGGATTAAGGTATATTCTCTATAATCCAAGCACTTCTGTCTGAGGTACGGTGTATGTTTGTGTGCAGCTTGCACCGACAGCTCAGGTGTTCCTCGTGCAAACGGCGAGGTGTGGAAGGCCTCAAAGGACGGCTGTTGCATGTACCGCTGCGACAATGACACCATCGTACCAGTGGAGTATAACTGCTCCAGCGTTCCCACGCCAGTTTGCCAGCGAACAGGCGAAATGATCATCAGCATGTCCGATGACACCAGCTGCTGTCCACACAAAGTCTGCTGTGAGCCCACAGGCAGACTTCTTTAGCTTATTTTATTTATTTTTAACAACAGTGAAAGTTAATCTGTGGTTGTTCTCATGTTACTCTGCAGTGTGTAACCAGAGCCTGTGTGATCACTTTCCCCCTGAGTGTAAATATGGGGAAAAGCTGGTGTCTTACTACAGAGCAGACTCCTGCTGTCCAGACTATGTCTGTGGTGAGTTTCCCTTTTACTGATTAAACTCTATGTTGTAGCAACGCTTGAGTTTTGCATCATCTATATCTACCATTACTGCTTGTTTAAGAGGTAATTTCTTCTCCACAAATAGATAATTAAGATAAGCACATGATAAAATAAAAAAAATGACACTTTACACTCTTTGCCTTTAAAAGCTCATAGAGAGGTACTTTTTTTTTACATTCCCTTTTTCAGAGTGTGATCCTGAGCTCTGTGAGTCTGACATCCCGACCTGCAGAGACGACCAGACTCTGATTGCGACCAGAGCTGATGGCAGCTGCTGTTTGGCACACATCTGCAGTTAGTTCATCCTTCCCTTTTTGTGTCCCTTTCATTGAATCCTTGTCTAGTTAAACAGTTTGTTTAATCTACAATATGTTTCCTCCAGTGTGCTCCTCTTGTTCTGAGACGCCACCCTTCTGCCAGGATGGGGAGGTGCTAAGCGTTGACAGCAACAGCACGGATCGATGCTGCCCTTCCTACCAATGTGGTTAGAAAACACACCATCTTATCTCTTTAGTTCACTACATTTTTCCATCACTTTTTAGAGTAGTAGACAAAATTAAGGCTGAAGGAAACCCACCAACATGCATGAATCGTGAGTGGGAATCTGTCAATGTGTTGTAACTGTCTAACTGTCTTAATGGTATTTTGTGTGTGCAGTATGTGAGCCCTACAGATGTCCTCAGCTGAGTTGTCCTTACGGGATGTCAGTTGTGTCTGTTTCCAATTCAAGTCTCTGCTGTCCCAAGCAAACATGTGGTATGATCCTAACATGCTACCTGCTTCTCTTAAGCCGTAACCTCAGCTTCTTTGCTGGAAAATGTAATATTACCTTGTGCTTTGTGTTTACAGAATGTACCTGTGACAAAGTGGCCTCTCCAAAATGTGGCCTGGTATGTTCTGTGGTTAAAAATCCAGGCTGGGAGAAATATCTAGTTATTATTATGACAAGATTGGGGCAAAATAAAGGGTTTTGGTATAGATTTAAATATCTCATATTATGTATAAAATAATAAAAATATTGGATTTTTAATGTATCTCAACATTATACTGCCTTGTTTTTTTCAGGGGGAAGCTGCACAGCTTGATCTGGCCTTTCTGTCTGACCCACAGAACCAGTGTGCCTGCAAGAGGTACAAGTGTGGTGAGTTCTGCTCAGATAAAAGACTGAGTCATTTAGTTCAACTATTATTATTATGATGATTATTATTATTATGATGATTATTATGATTGTTATTATTATGTGTCCTATTAATTATCAACAACGTGATCCTGTTTAATGGTCTGACTTCAGTCTAATTGAATTTAAAGTTTATTCATCCTCACATAATTTAGTCCAATGCATTTCTGTTCAATGACATCACATACGTAGATGTCACAAACTGCTGCACATATAAAACATTCTAAATATAAAGAAAAGATCAATGTTAAAAGGCAGAAAAAGTAAATAAATAAAACAGTAAAATAAGATTCAAAAGCAAAAAGACTTGTGTTATGCCAGAGGTCAATAGGAAAAAGTGCATTTTTAGAAGAGTTTAAAAAATGGAGATTGAAGTGACCTCTAATTTCTAAAGAGAGATTATTCTACAGTCTACTGTAGGAGCATTCTTATTTAGCACAAATAAGTTCTTCTAAAGTTAGATTTAAAGTTAAATCAAATAGAAAAAAATGCAGGAAATACGGTTTAAATCTATTATAACCAACCCAGCTCAAATAAAGACAATTTAATTACTGTTATAAATTTCAGTTTAAATAGTTTCAAGCATTTAGACTGGAAAATAAATATTTTATATAATGTAGATTATACTAATTACAAAGAGTATAGAGCTTTTAATATTCAAAATAGGTACACTTCAGCTTTGAAACACAGAAACTTAAAAAACTAAATCACATTTTATTATATTTGAACAATCAATCTGAGTTTCATTTGATAAAATAATTAAACCATTATAATACTATTTCATGAAATAACTAATAGATCACCTACCAACTAGCAATAAAGCTGTGAAAGACCTGTTAGTTTTTCTTTTTTTAATAAGCACCTTTATCCTCATTTACACAGACCTCTTCGATGTCTCAGCCAGGCCGACTCAAATAGCATTCTGGTCATAATCCCCACTGGGTCTTTGGAGTCACTGCCTGACAGATACTTTAGCTGCTCTGTTAGAAATAGTGTCTTTATAATAGTGTATTTATTTCAGACAACAGAGCAAAAGACGTCAATTTCTAAAAAAAACAAAAACAAAAAACAGATAGGCCAGGCAGAAAGCCAGACACAGGAAGAATAAAGTGGTTTTGATTAATTATAAAATAATTGGCAGTGCATATAGGGATACTACATGCATGAAGTGTGTTTTGCTGCACTGGATACTGTCATATCGGTCTGGATACAGTGAAAAGCCGGGATAATAATTACACTGGCTTGGAGTTATTATGTACGTAAAAGACATACTACATCAATCAGACTACAAGTTCAGGCTAAGGTGAGCTACAGGATAGTAGACAAGCAGCTAGACGAACAGGCAACAGCTGTTGGTGCAGTAATTAGAAAAATCTGAGAAACTAAGAATGACTGTCAATCTCCCTCTGAATGGGGCTCCATTCAAGATTTCATATCATGAAGTGACTGATGATGAGACAGGTGATTAACCAGCCCAGAACTGCACAAGAGGACCTCAAAAGAACTGGAACCACAGTCTGAAAGGTTACCATGGTAGCACTCTACACATTAATCGAATAAAATCCTCCAGTACACAGAGGATCCCGATGCTGAAGTTAGAACATGTCTTATTGGCCTCCGGTTTGGCTGACCGGGCTTGTCCTGCACATTTTAGATGTGTCTCTGCTTCAACGTGTGAATCAAATGGCTGAATTATCTCTTCAGTATGCAATCCCGTGCGATTCCTGCTAATAACCTGATTTTTTGACACAGGTGTGTTGAAGAAGAGAAACATCTAAAAGGTGCAAGACTTGAGGATTGAGGAAGCCAGATTTAGAGGAGGCTAGGATCTGTGGGGGGCGATGGAAGAAGGAATATGTTTTGGATGAAGGAATATTTTATGTTCCTCAATAAGAGCATTGAAAATACGTCCTGGCTGACTTTTTTTAAATGCACAGGCAGGGCATCTAATGAGTGGCTCCAAAGGAAATTCTTTAGGGTCCTGGAGTTACTAGACCTGAACCCAAAAGAGATTAAAGGCAGCTAAAACTCCTTGCTCCCCAGCAACAGGAGAAACATCGGGAGTAGGTTAAAATCCCTGCTGTAGTGTGTGCAAAACTAAACAAGAATAATAGGAGATGTTTGATGTTTGTAAGGTAAAAAAGGTTTCAGTAGCCTATATTAAATTTAGTTTTTAAAATTTATCAAACATTTATTTCAAGCAATAAATTGCAAAACAGTTATTCAACTATCATGGCCTTTTGATTTTCTTGATTTTATTTGCCTTTAGACTCTGTCTTTCTCAGTTAAAGTGTTCCAGAGATTAGACCTATCGTTCCTCTAGAAAGTGGAAAATGTTCAAAATCGGGGCATGTTAAATACTTATTTTACAGCTTAGGTAAATTAAGCTAATACCCAAAATAAAAAATTTTATTTGTTTATTTTTTAAGAAAAAAAAACTTTAGAAAAAGTACAAATACCCCATATTTTATAAAATTCATGATTTAAACAATAAAAAAAAAATTATAGAATTCTTTGATGTCTGTCTTTAAAATATAAAAATACTCCAGTTTAATATTTATATCATCAGTGCTTTTTATATTGCAGATCCACAAATCAAATTTTAACATTTTGTGTGTGTGTGTTTTCAGTGCGTGAGGCTGTGTGTGTGTTTGGTGAGCGTGGATTATTACAGCCAGGTCAGACTCTCGTTGAGCACGGAGACAACGGACTTTGTTACAGTCGGCACTGTAGCCAGGTTCTGGATCAGAAGAGTGGATTTTATCTGCTGCGAAACTCGACAGTCAACTGCTCCATCCACTGCCAGCCGGTAAGACAGCTATACATGTTATTTGAAAACTTCCTTTGCAACTTTTTCAAAAAATCTTGTAGGGTGATTTTTTTTTTGTCTTGAAAAAATTTAATCTGGAAGCATCTACGTATCTTAAGATATAATATTGAAACCCTGATTGTAGTTTCCAAGATAATGCCAACTTAAAAAAAAAAAAATCAACACCTTGAAACGATTTAAAATTATTTTAACAACAGAAGTTAAGCATTAGATCTGCAATAATAATAATAATAATAGAGATAATGATATAAGAAACTAAGAAGTATCAAATTCAGAAAAAATTTAAATGATTGTATATTGATTACAAAAGTAATGTACAAAAATGGTTTAACAAATAATACTCAAAGTATTTTAACCCTTTAACACAATCAGGTGTGATATGTGAGTTTTATAAAATCAGACACATGTAATGAACAGGAAATCTATAATAAATTGCTGCGAAATGCCTAATGTACAAATCATGCAAATAAGATATCAGTTAACTTATTTGGAACTATTTTTTTTGTTTCAAAAAATGTGAAATTTCAGAGGATTATATAATTGTTTAGGGTTTAAAACATTAATGTTTGCATTACAATTGAATAAAATACAGGGAATTTGATGATGGAAACAGATTTGCTGTGTGAGTCCAATAGATGAATTTTTCTGCTTTGCTCTTTATGATAATCAGAATTATTTTAGGTAAACGTTCTACTTCAGTTTTTCAGTTCGGAAAAAGTAATTTAACTGATATGTTTGCTGGGCCATTCAGATTAGGTATTCAGAAATAGGAACTGTTTGATTAGCATGGGTTTGGATCCTCTGTATCTACCTGTTGGAACTATTGATAAAGAAATGTTTTCCTTGTCTGTCTAGTAAAGCTGATCAACACTTACTGAAAAACAGAAAGACCAGTTACTCATCCCCAGTGTGCATCCAGATCTAAGAAATGCGAAAGTGGCTTTACAGAAGTTATTTTCTTTTGTTTGAGTAAGACTGAATGTTTTTGTTTTAGAATCAGATCTATGTTCCTCCTAAAGACCAGTCAACCTGCTGTGGCGTCTGTAAAAACATTTCCTGCCTCTATCAACATGAGAATGGGACGATGAGCCTCTATAAGGTAGGAGGACAAGCTTCCCTTTTGCTCATTGGTTATTTCATTTGATATCAAATAACCTTTAAAATTTCTGAGCAGATTTTATTTTTTGCATATATAAAGATAGATCTAAGAAAGTAGAACACCTCAAACAAAATTCTATTTCATTGGAACTGATCTCAAAAAGAGAAAATCATACAATATCAAATATTACAAGTATTTTGTTTTTTATGAATGGGGATTTTTGTTTATAGGTAATTAAAACCTAAATTTGTTGATTTAGAAATTTAGAATATTACTATAAATGAAAACGGATATTTTAAACAGAAGTGCTTTTGAGAAGTCTTTGGTTTGGCCTCCTGCAGGATGAACTACTGCATCAGTCATAGAAATGAGTCGCCTGAGATGTATGGAATTTGCTTTTATAGCTGCTTTGGACTATTTGAATTGTTTGCTCTGGTGTTTGATGCTTGTATGAATTTATGTTATTTAATATTTGATGAAAACAATTTTGGTCTATCGTACTTTGTCGTGTTAATACAAAATCCAATGGCTTGTGGTGTTAGGATGACAGATTGAAGAGTGAATTTGAGCATGTTCATTATCAAACAACAAACTTTGCACACAAATGGAATAAAGTCACAGCTTCTGTTGAAATTGTAACATTTATTATTGTTTCCTTGCTTGTATTGTTTGTTAGTTTTCTGGATTAAACTGTAAAGCACTCATCAACATTTGCTATAATTTTTTGTAATTGAAAGATATCAAGATATGAATATCTTCACACAATATTATGTGTTTTCATTATCTGCATGCATTAATTTATCAGCGTTACAAGAAACAAAGCCTTGAAATGTATTTCATTTTTGCTACGATATAATTTTACTTTATGAAATGAGTGACCATCACATTTAACTTTTATGATTTATTTTTTTAGATGTAATGGTTTCCCCAATGTGATGCAAAGTCATATGTCCAATACACTATTTAAAAAATATTCTACATATTTCACATTTTACTACTTACCAATTTAGTAAAAGAAAAGCTCAATTTAGCATTTAAAAACATTATTTGACTCCTGTCTTCTAAAACTGTTGGCAGCAGTTCACTGTTATTCCAGCATTTGCAAAGTTTTTCTGTGGTTGAAAAAACAAGTTTCGTATAGATGTTACATTTTTAAGGGGTAACCTTAGTATAATGTTGATGTTTTCAGCCTGGACGGTCCTGGGTTTCAAACTGTAAGAAGTTCGACTGCTCCGACACTTCATTCGGGCCAACCCTCATCTCCTACTCCTACAGCTGCCCCCCCTTCAATGAAACGGAGTGTATGAAGGTCAGCATTACACAGAAACCGAGGCACAAATATGTTGTGCATCTTGAGAAAAACTCTTGACTTAATCTGTAGAAGTTTACAGCAGGCGATGATGATTTTAAAATATAATTAACTTTTACTTACGTTTAAGAATTCTCATCTTTAGCTGCTAGTTATTTTAAACATGCAAAATAACAACTAAGAAAATAAGTTAACAACTACGTAAATTGCTAAGTAGCTAAATTCATAAGTAGCTATCTAATAGTCTCAGTTAGAAAGTAGAGTTGTGCATAAATAAATAGGAACATGATCTCTAAATAAATAAAAACATAGAGTAACCAAGAAATTGACTAAAGCAGCTAGGAACAAAGATCAGTGGGTAACTAAGTATAAACTGGTACAGTAAGTAAATGACTAAGAATAAGTAAAAAATCCAGTAAACTAAGTTAATATCAAAGTAAATTAGTTAGAAAGTAATTAGGGAAGTTGTTAGTAAGTAATAGAGAAAAACAAAAACAATAACTATGGAAAAAAAAAAGTATCATAGCAAGTATAGTAGATAAATACATAAATGACTAAATGATACATAACAAGCTACTAAACCAATAAGTAAATAGATAAAGTGAAAAAGTAAGTAACAAACTACTAAGAAACTACGGTAAGTAAATATATATGTTAATAATAATATACAAAGTAACAAAGCATTTATAAGAATAAATAAAGCAAGAATTTGAGTAAAGAAGTGAATAATACCTTGGGAAACAAAAAAGCTACATATGAAGTAAGAGCAATTCAACCATTGGGTAAGTAACTCTGTGATTAAATAATAAGTATGTCATGATTAAAATATGTAAACAACAAAAAAAACCCAAACAAATCATTTAAACGAGAACTAAGGAGTAAGTAGATCATATGCTACATAGGGAGTAACTGAGTCACATTGTGACAAAGTAAGCAAGTAACTAAATACCCATCTACTTAAGTTTGTAATTAAGCAAATTTGCAGCAGAATATGTCAGCATGAAAAGTATTTTGCCTATTTAAAGGCTTTTATATCAGTTTAGAACGTGCCTCAGGAAGATATTACAGTAGGTATTACTCTGCAGTCAAACATTCAATACTAGTGCTGTGATGAACATTGCTTTTAATTTGATTAAGTGTGTGATAACTCCATCTGTGTTGCATTAATGGGTTTGAAGTGTCTCTGAACCTCTTAATATCCACCTCATTTTGGAAAATTCTCACCTATTTCGCAAACCGAAATGGAAAAGCCGATAACTTAGGAACTGTAAGCCCAAATTACATCTGTGATACATTATTTGAAAGCTAACACCTTCTAGTTTCTGAATATATACATGATAATTGGGTGAGTAAAACACCCAAGCTGCGTCAGTTTAAAAAAGACTCAAAGTTGTTGTTTTTTTGTTCTCCAATATAATAGGTCTTTTTTGAACAGCAGTTATAAAGACATGCTTGCTTGTTGTGGCTTGCTGTTTCCATAAAATGAACTAGGTGGTTGAATTGAGAAGAATCTAAACTTTTCAAGAATGTCTAACATGCCTATATTGGTAAACATTTTACCAGTGTAATTTTCATGCATTCTAAGTAATTATTTGTAAATGCTTTAAAACGGGTCGCTGGCAACCCGGTGGGTTTTGAGAGGTTAAAAGTTTTCACGTTTTTTGTAAGTACAAAAAGGGAAGCTCGTAAGGTCAAGGTATATTTTATTCTATACACTGAAACTCTAAGACTCTAGATCTGCTGAGCATGATGCAAAATTAACTGATCATCAACATTTGCATTTAGTGTACTCTGTAATAATAATAAATAGAAGAATAGGATAGAAGACAGCTTTAGAAGAATTTTATTAAGTTCTCATTACTGAAAACATTGTTTTTCTGTTTGAGCATCCTAACATCTTTATCCACTCAGATAGGAGGAACCGTCATAAGTTACATGGATGGATGCTGCAAGACATGTGAGTACCTAATCTGAGCGTAGCAGCAGTTCTGTAGTTAGCGTAGAGCTGTAGGCTGCAGCTGACACTGAAGAGCGCCTTCATCAACTGCCGTTAAATTATGTCTAACATGCACTTCAGTTTGTCCACTTGAAACCCCCAAATCCTGCCTTACAGCAACTGAATTGGCTCCCGTCTGGAACCCAGCTGCTCTTTTCAGATATGTTTGTCTGCTGCTTGTTCAGATTTCTACACTTCTCACTGAATTTATAAGATATCTCTCACTGAGAAGCATTTGATGACATGCAAACGGTTTGTGGTTTGTGTGCTTCACCTTACCATTATGTACCAATCCCACCAGGTACTGGATTTCATCTGTTTCCCTTTCCAGTTAGCCAAATGACTCCCACAGTTAACACAAACTGTGAACAAGGTACCAGAACAACAAGGCTTCTTAGTGCCATTGTTGATATTCAACAATGTACTCCCTCCAAAAATGTTTGAAAAGATACAGGAGAGACCAAAAAGTGCAACTGCAACCTACATTTCTCTTCAGAAATGTCCTCTCATCTGTCACTTCATTTCATGAAATGTCTGTATTGAGAAATAGCCTAATATATACCAGCATTTAATCTATATAAAACCAATCAATTGTGAATGTCCTTTTGTGGAATTATAGTTTAATATAATCTAAAGATGTAGGCAGCCTAAAATGAAATCACACTTGAGAGGACAGAAACGTATGTGTAGCTCTTTCTCCTCCAAGTGCATCATGCACCTTCATCGGTCAGCTCCCTCCCCATTAGCACTGTCTGGGCAGTGCATTGTTGATTGCCAACAATGTACTGTTGGTAGTGGCCCTGTAGTCGGCCGTAGACATCTGCATGTTTCAGTAGATTGAGTGTTGGTGTTTGGGTCTTTATCTGCAAAACAAAAAAAAAAACATCTTCAGATTTAGGCTTATGCACGACCAGTTTTTCACTGCAGCGGATTCTGCTCTGTTGCTGCATCTTTCAGGTTTTTGTTTTCAGGTTTGTTGTCTTTCAGGTTTAAAGGCTCTTTTTTCATCACACTAATCTGCAGCTTCTTACTTTCGTATCTGATTTCAGTCAACGCACTGGTTGGGTTACTCTAAAATGTTAATATCTTTTTTTGTTTCTTAAATAAATATATTTCTACATATATGTGTAAACTTACACTCTGCAGGGACCTAAATGATGTTGACTTCAACTGTATGCAAACTTAGTTGCACATAAGTGTTCAATGTGTGTGTTTACATTGTGTGGAATCATAAACGCTTTTAGGAAACAGGAAACCTTCACTCACAAATAAAATAAAATTAGTCTAAAAGGGCGAAGTCAGTTTTATTAATTGTAATTTGTGTGTGTGTGGGGTGGGGGTGGGAGTGGTTGGAGAGATCCACTTGTGTAGTTTCCTCCCTTGTTCAGTTTTCTTTTATTAAACTGACGTTGCATGATCAGCTTTTCCCATTTCCCATTTACTTGCCTGTCATCCTGCCTCCTGTGCTCAACGTTTGTTTCTTCAATCCAGCAGATTTCCCTTTGGTTTTTCTTTATATAGGCAAAGAAGATGGGAAGTCATGTCAAAAGGTTACAGTTAGGATGACAATCAGGAAGAATGACTGCCGCAGCAACCGGCCGGTGGGTATCTAATTGGCATTACTCAGCTGCTCGCTTGTCTGGTATAATTGCTCAACATCAGCTATCAGTAGACATGACAATATTTAGTCACATAATAACCTCTACAAGGAGTTATTTTCTGTATTATTCCCAGAAAAAGACGCTGCTGCTGTTAGTTTATAACTTGCTATCTGTGTTTTAGAAGTCAAAACAAACATGGTAGTTTTTGCATTCATGCTAACGTCTTTACTGATGATGTCCTTCAGGTAAATATTGTATCCTGTGATGGGAAGTGTCCTTCTGCCAGCATCTACAACTACAACATCAACACGTACGCTCGCTTCTGCAAGTGCTGCAGGGAGACAGGGTTGCAGCGGCGCTCTGTGCAGCTTTACTGCAGCAGCAATGCCACCTGGGTCAGCTACACCATCCAGGAGCCAACTGATTGTTCCTGCCAGTGGTCCTAAACACAAACAAAAGGAACTTACACTCAAATTCAGTAAGAGAGGTCTAACTTGGATGAAGATCTGCAAGGTTAACCGACCTCATAAAGGGGACACCTTTACGTTAGGAACGCTGGGATGGATTTAAGTGGAACTTTGGAAAACACCACTGCTGGATGTTGGGAGGGAGCATAAAGCTCTTAATGACTGTTAGTGATCTTCAGTAAGTATTTTTAGTATCTCTGCTGGCATGGGGGTTGAGTTATACAGCAGAAAAGCAGATGTTACAAGGTCCTGCTGCTCTGCCTGTTACACACAGAGATTTCGCTGGAACTCACTTTCACTGCAGATATCTGAAAGAGACAACAAAATTATAAAACAGCATAACAGATGACACTGCAGTTCTACTGTGACCACAGTTAAAATGTTAATCAAAAGAACAAAACTTAAATCTTTTACTCAATAAAGTTTCAAAGATTATCCAAGAAAACCTTTTTTCTTTCTCAGTTATAAAGGCAAAAGGTGTCATTTTAAACAGTTACAGAGCCAGACATCTTTCATAGGGGCAAGGACCAATGTCTACTGAGGGGTGGCTGAAGACAGACAGGCACCAGAACCAGTTCATGGTTAATCTACACTAACCACACTGAATCAACAGGAAAATGAATGATGAGAAAATAGACTAGATTTTCCTAAATTACTTTCTCATTCATGTTCATGCATACATATTGTCTGATGCTGGATCATCTTATCTTCTGGTTGTCTTAAATGTAAGTCTTTTCGACATGCTCATTTCATCCTGGTGCACACCTCTAGTGTTTATGTATCCAGTTAGCTTCAGTTTTAGCCATTCATTGTAGCCCTGTATTCTTTAAAAAATGTCTGATTGTCACAGAGATCCAATTGTCCTAAAGTTTATAAGAGGAATATGAAAGCATTTAGAAGAAGGAAATAAAACCAGGTGGTATTTGGGAGATTCTTTCATACGATACAGTAGAGCAGGTAGAGAAAGGATGGCCTCAATACTCACGGTAAAAGTAACTTCAACATTTCTTACCCAATTAAAGGTACAGTGGATTATTTTGTAAAGAAATTATCCACTGTACCTTTAATAACCCTATTTTTAGAGGGAAAAGCATGTTCTGGGATGGTAAATTACATCCACAGGAGGACAACATCCACATAGGGGCAATAAGTCACCTGGTTAGAGGGGTCACAGGGGTGGCTAAGGGTGGGCCATGGCCACCCATAACCCCACATATAGCTCTGACCTTGATGCTCAAATCTCATTTGCTTTTAAATTTGTTTCTCGTTTCTATATAAAAAAGTTTCACCAGTACAAAAATGAAGCACCTGACTCAGTTAGAATTTTGCAAGAAAAGCTAATTTTGCCTTTACAAATGCTTTTTAAGATAGTAATTTGGCATCCTTCCGTTGATTGAAGTGATTTGGAGCTGTTAGGTTTATTTGTTTTAATGTTTCATGAAATGAAACAATAAAAGAGAAAGTGAATGTAATAATTCCAGAAAAACAGGTGAGAATTATGTATGGCTTTGATTACAGAAACAACACGTGGGTATCAGTATGTGACACAAAATTAATACCTCAGGACATTTATAAGTAGGAGACTCTACTGTTTAAAGGTTTATTCATACCGTTGAAATTTGGATGAAGATTGATGCAGTGATGGGAAGTAAGTCTGGCAAAAACCTTGGCTAAGAGTGCTATCTTGGAAGCTATATAAAGAAATGTCATTGTCTCTTAGGAAACATTTTTTTTATCTGTAATTAACATTTGTAAATAACTGTTTGTTCCCATAAGTGAATCATTACAAATTGTTTTCAGGGTAGTTTTCCAACATTTACTCTGGTGTAAATTTGTCCTTCTTTCTCTTCTCACCCTAGAGAAAATTACATCTCTGCTGGCAAAAAAAACCCTGCTAAATCAATTTCACAGATACAAGTTAAATATTTTTGTCTAGGAATAAACATGAGGCTAAGTAGCTCTGTGGTTTTATGGATTTCATTGTCCATATATTTTGGTGCCTGTCTGTCTTTGCTTGGCCCTAAAAAGCCATTTTTTTAATCTTTACAATTAATAAAAGATTTCAAACAGAATGTACAAGCTATTGATAGTTTGCTTGTGTCTCATAAATTCAAAGATTCTGTTTTTGTTTTATTCTGACTAAAGTATATGTAGCTTTTACAATATAGAAATAAAAGAAGATATAAGTAACACTAAAAACATTCATTAACTTGTTAATATCACCTTTAAAAGTGAAGTAATTACACACATTTAGAAAACATGTAGAAGAAACATCCTAAATGATAATGATCTATTTATCTTTCAAAATAAAAGATTGGGAAAAAAGGCATTACCTTGCATTGAACACCAGGCCCTACAATATTTAAACTGGGGAATTATATCTTAATATATCTAATTTATCTTTAAACCAATGTCAAATTCTAACAGGAAACTGTTACTAAAACAGTTTATGTCCTTAAAGTAACTTCATCACTGAAAAAGACAATGTAAAGCATTTTTCTACTCATACAAGTCCATGAATTTTAGAGCAGATTTAAGTGATTACTAATAACTAAACACATTATTTCATAGATAAACTGTGGTTCCTGCTGCTTTGCTGTGTTTCCACCTCTCTCTCCTGCTGTAGAGGAGAGAGAGGTGGAAACATAGGTATTTCTTTTAGAAGATAATCCTGCCACTTGTTTCTTATTCACTGTAACACAAAAAAAAAAACTATCTTTCAAAAAGTGTTGGATGCGGTCCATGGGGAGAAAAGCATTGTTATCTACAGAACACCTCCCGACTCACTTTTGACCATCTTTAAATTTGACCTTAAACCTAGTCTGTTACTGTAAATATTTAAATTCAAGTGCTCTTAAAACTCTTTGCATAATTTAGATTTCTCTCTTAGAAAGGCTCGCCTAAACTTTATATCCTGTGATGTGGATTTAAATCTCTGTAATCAACATTTCTGATTTATTTTTTACTGATCGACATCCAGTTGTTTGTTGAGCACTTTATTTATTTATTGGAGTTTGAAATGACACAGATGTTCTGTTCTATAAGATGCATTCCACCAAAAAGAAGAACAAACACTATGACTGAAAAGTCTTATATGGTTTTTCTCCCCACAATAAAGATGTGTTTCTCTGTGGATGAAATGTTTGTTACCCACAAACTCCTGGATAGTTAAGTTAAAGGAGACTTGTATAATACAGATGTACATTTGACTTTTCAATAAATCTTTTGGACACTCATCACTGTAGTTTGCTTTGGTTATTTAGGAACCGGAGATGTTTCTACTATAATAACTGAACTTTATTGATCTCACATTGGAGAAATTTACCTCTGCATTTAACCCATCCCTTGGTGAGCAATGGGCTGCCATCGTGGGGCGCCCAGGGAGCAGTGTGGGGTTAAGGGTCTTTTTCTCAGAAACCTACAGTAGAGTGGCAGTCTGTGGGAGTGGGGCTTGAACTCAGAACCTCAGGATTTCACGCTCTATGCCTTAACCATTAGGCTGAATACAGTACCAGATAAACGAAGGGCTGAGAGAGCAGCAACAGAAGGAACAAAAAGTAGATTGCACAGGGGAGATGAAGCAGCCCTTGTCTGACCTGATTTCAGACTGACTCACTGCTCCTGTAAGTCTGAACTGAGGGCTGGAGAAGTGCGCACAGTGATCATCTGATCAGAATGCATTTCACAAAGTTCAGAGTGACACAGCTGCTGCTTTAACTGCTGATACTGAGCCGTTTGGCACGCAGCCAGAAGGACACACTTTTACGTCAGCAGTCATGTAGCTCCTGCTGAGTGACGCCACGGCAGCATCTGCAGCAACAAAACAAATCTAAAGCCCAAGTGGGCAGTTACAGGAATTAAGATTGGAATCAGGTTGGTTCCATTACGACTGGGTTGCCCTTCTTACTGGTGCTGTTGGGATTTCTGGATGAAGTCATGTTCTCTTTTTAATGCTTAGCAATAAACCAGCCATTCCGTTGTGGGCATGGACTTCTATTCCCACTGCATGACTTACAGAAGGTAGTCCCCACCATTCATCACATTGGTCCTGCATGATACTTAAAATGATCAGTATGACTTTATCTGTGTCTCTCATCATTGTGAAGGAATTTTGACTCTCTTCTTCATAACAGCGATTTGGTTATTTCTGTAAAAGTTGAATAAGCAGTTTGTGCACCATTCTTTTAGGGTCCCAGCCCAGGATTTTGATCAGGTTCTGGACTGTGACTGGCCCATTGAAGCCTGCATGATTCTCTCATCCGGCCACCTTGTTGTCAATTTTATGATGTCTTTGAGATAATTGTCCCTCTGATCAACCAACTGGTAGCTAACGAGATGTTTTCACAGCTGATTCTTTAAATTGGTGAGAAATTTCTCTGCAAACTACAGTAATTACTATATCATAAGCATAAAGCATCACCTCTCAGCCACCATAATTTACATTTAGTATTTATGAATCCTCTTCTTTCCACATAACTTTAAACTAATATACTTGGATGCAACAATGTATGTGAACAGCCAGTATTTTCTTTTAATTTTAATTTTTATGAATGCCTTTTTGTTGCTTATCCTCATCCCGGAAGGTGTAGATTAAAATTGTTTATCCTCCAAAAAAGCCTTCCCTGTAGGCTGTAGCATGGCCATAACATTACAGTTTTATATTAGAAATATATTTTATTGGCTGTGCAGAAAATAGATATTTATTTGCATTATATCAAACACATTTTTATCCCTCCATGTCTGTTAACCATTTCTGTTTGATACTCTGGTTTGGAAACAGAATTATTTCCTTTCATGTAACCTGGTTTAATAGATTATATAGAAAATCCAGAAGTTGAGTCTGACAACAACACAGACAGTGAAAGTTCCATCAATTTTTTGGCTGATGTCTTTTCTTTATTTTAAGTCTCACAAGGAAGCAGCCTGATTGATTTTCCCCTCAGTTAAAATACATCCAAAGATGTGCATCCATATAACTCAAACCATATGTATCAGAAGCTAACCAATAATATAATCAAACTATTCTTTTACCCCTTTAATATGCTTACATATATTCGCTCTTGTTTGAAACTTTGATTATGATGTGTGCAATAAAAAATGTCACATTTCTTGTTTGTGCAACAAAAAACAAAAGACCATAAACCAATTCGATAATTTAATAAAGCCTTATGCATAAATGACACAATGAAAATAATGATGTAACCATGTAAAAAAAAAAAAAAATCATAAATAGCCTGACACTGGTCTCTGTTTGGATAATTATGAAACCGAAATCCTATTAATATTTTGGGATTTGTGTCTCCAGCACAGAGATTTCCATTAATACCAGTCATATTCCAAAAACTGTTGGTAAATCGAGCCAGTGAGAAATGCCCGGTGGGTTCAGAGTCTCAGTGACTTCAGTGGAAACCAGCTGTCAGTTTGATAAGTGTGAAGCAGCTGCAGACACACAGACACACACCCACACACACACACACACGCAAACACGGTCGCTAATGCTTGTCTTATACAGTTTTGCTGAACAGGACTTACAGAACCTTTTTTTCTTACATTTTCTTTCAAATACTTACATTTTTTGGTAAAGATTTAAAATGATTTGGGTCCATAGCTTTCTATGCTTTCTGATATTTTTTTAAAATCTTTTTTTTAGGCTTTTGCTGCTTTAAACAAATTTTCATTTTAGTTCCCCAACCTTTTTGGAATGATTTTGCTTAATTAACCCAGTAAAGATCAGCATGTTTAATTTCAATTTCATCAGCCTGGTGGTGTTTTATGGCCTGAATTTTGCCAGATTTACTCCCTATTAATCTGGTAAAACTGATGTTTTTGCTTAAGGTTACTTTCACAATACCTTCTACCTCATCAGTCAGCGCCTGATTACCAAACAGAGTTCAGAGGTCATAAGATTGTTCCTTTAAACTTTGATATTTTAATTAATTAATGTTACCAAAAATCACAGAATCTTGCCACAAAGTGCTTTTCCACATAATCATGCTTTATCTCATTCTTATCTGACCAAAAAACACAACAGAGGAATTACATTTGTGATGGTAGGATAGAAATCTGTTTAGTTTTTTTTAGGTCGGTGCTGTAAAATCAAATTGCCCTTTTACAGCATTCCTGGTCACATTTAGGTGTTTCAGAACATAAAATAGTTTACCTTTCAAGTTTTTTTCTTAGTTTGTGGAGCAGAGTTCACTGTATCCCCAAAACATTAGAAACATTATTTAACACACTTAAAACTGATAGATGACATGTCTTTTTTGTGATGTGTTCTTTATTTCCTTTTCTCATTGCATAACTTAAAGATTTTGTAAGATTTTTTAGCCTGCTTCGTGTTGACAGACAGGTTCTGTTTAAAATGTATTTTATTTCTGCCAACTCCTCAGTATTCAGTCCTTGGTCTAGCTAAATAAACTAAACCAAAAAATGTGATTAATCATACTTTATTCAAGATGAAAGATTGTGGGTGACTTTATTTGCTTTAACAGCCTGTTTGTTTTGGACAGCTTGTTTATTTTAAATGTATAGTGGAGGATGTTCTTTTTTCCAGGTAGGTCATCAACATAAGAGGTTCTCCTAATAGTCAATTATTCTGGTGATATGTTTATTCAAGGCAGTCCAACATACTTGTACCCATTTTCACTTAGACGTGGTGAGTCGGACATCGTGGAAAAATTTAGGCTTGTATGAGTGATGCAGACAGCAACTTTTTAACAGAGAGTGCACAAGGAGAAATGGGCTTGTGCATGCTCCTGCAAGTTTTTAATAAGCATTCCCTCTCAGGTACGGGGTTGTGCATGTGCATTTTTTTTTTTAAGTGGAGAGGACTGGTCTTTTCAATGATTTGCAAAACAAATCCTCCATTATACTTTTAATAAATGACATCATTGTTTAAAGATGCATTCTATGTTTACTCAGTTAGTATTTGACCAATATTGATATGTGTTTGATTAACTGAATCATGTAGCGAAGTGCATGTAAATCTTTTTGAATTAAGGTAGGGTTTGACCAGCATTTTATAGTGTTAGATTGCTGTAATGCAGAAAAAGACAAATCTGCTTACAATTTTAAACTTATATTTTTCAGTGCTGCTAAGAAAATTATCTTGTTTAAAATCAAAATGTATCCATGGACAATTTATCAAGACATTTGGAAATTTTTTTTACAGAAAATGTATTTATATACAAGCGAATTCAAACATGGTTTTATTCATTAATAAACCTCTTGTAGCAATGAGTTTTTTTCCACTTTAAATGGCTCAAGAGAGATAAAGTTGCAGGATGGAAGAGAATAGCTCACACCCTAACCTCCTTGCAGCTTCATCTGGAGACTTTCTGTTAAATTTAGCAGCTCATGAAATCTAAGACACGTGTACCCTTCTAAAGAGCTTGACCAGTGGTATCATTTCAGCATATCTGCAACTCACAAAGCTCATTTAGTCTTTGGTACAACTGCAAACATGATGGCAGGGCAAGAGGCACTCTTTAAATACATAAACTAGCTTTATGCTTGTTAGAAAATATTATAGAGAAAAAAAGTATTTTTCATTCGATTAACGATACATTTAACTTGTTTAGTTCTTGCTCTTGTGTTGTAGATTTTAAGAGAGTTGTTGCTGATCAGGGTAATTTAGATTTTTTATTTTAAATCTTATTCTCCAGTTGACTAAATGAACAAAAAGATGTCTTAATTTCTCAAACAGCTGTGAAAAAAAAGAAAAACACCTAAATTCATTTTCTTTTATTTAACAGACATTTCACAGTTAAACCTGCTGGTAAACAACTAACAGTACTTAAGGATTATTCTAGTATCACTACAGTAACCACTAAATATGGCATTATTTTTTACATACATTAAGGATGCATGTATTCTACCTTTTTGTTTCTACTGTAGTTTTTTTAATGCAAATTTACAAGCTACAAAACAAAACAGGACTATTTGTGGTGCTTGTACAACCAATAATATCAACATCAGCTCAAATTGTGTCAGATAACAATTTTTCATTTGACAAAATGTAAGTTTAGGGAGCTTTCTTTTAAGAGGGAAACCCTCATGTTTTGTTTACATTAATTATTATGAAGGTGAATTCAATCTACAACGACTTCAGTTCTGGGGGACTGACCTAATACAAAAATGTTATTTTATAAGAGATCAAACACAAAATGTATAGATTTCAAAAATTAATCTAAATGATTTTTTTTTTTTTAAGGGGACTTTAGATG